CTGGTAAGCGTTAACATGCCGATAAGAGAGAAGGGTCATAAAACTGCGACTACATCCTGTTTTCTACTTTTCCTAAGGAATTTTTCTTCTTTTAAGGTGCTCAAAAATTTATCATTAGCATGAAAAAAAAAATAAATAAAAAATTGTCCAAATTAAAATATTTAACTTACACATTATGTAGCAAATAATTATGGCTTCTTAAAACCTCTCATCGAATTCTCGTTCCAGGGCTTGGTTCAGCCAGAAAACAAAAAAAAAATTTAATTTTAATAGGGATTCCTGCGATTTAACAGATTAATATCATAGGAAATTAGATTAAAATTATTTAATAAATGCCTTATTGGAATGCACAAGTTTTTGAATATAGTTTCCGTTGAAGTTCAATTTAAATAAAGCAATAAAATTAATAAATAGTTGAATTTCATGTTTAAAATCCAAATTAATAATAAATTGTAGTAAAGATTTTTAACAAAGCTTGTGAGCTTGCAAGCTCTTTCTATTATTTTTGTATAAACAATTACTTGCTAATTGTATTTCACAGTGAATTTAAGATTTATTTTTGTTCTTAGTATTAAATAATCTATAAATATCGTTATGATTAAAACTATAACTGTAAAATCTTACGCACCAAACATTTATAAATAATAAGCCTCATTAATGCACGTAAAAGATACTCTGAGAGCCATCTCTTGAGTCAAGGCACGTACTTCGATGCGCGCGCCTACGATTTTCCCCAAGCCCCCGCTCCAATGTCCTGGAAAAAAACGAGGGAAAATCGAAAGAGCCTGGCAAGCCAATTAGCAGGCGGCTTCCCGCTCAAATCTTTCCAAAAATGAGGAGACAAGAGAGGTACTCGCCTCCCAGCCATCCTCAGAATATAAAAAGGGCCATATAAGACCTAAAAGGTATTCGTATCACCACCAAGAAACCACTAAGAAGACCAAGAAGTCGCCAAAAAACAAGTGACAAGCTGGGAAGCCAAAGAGCCAATTACGAACAGAGTGCCAGATCGTGTCTAGAAGAAAAAAAAATAGTAAGCTAAAGGAAACTATTTAGTCTCTCTCCGTCTTGTTTCTACCTTTCAGAATTAGCTCATGAACCTCTAAAAATCCTTTTTCCTCGGTATCTAGAGCCTACAATTGAAAGGCTCTGGATACGATCCTTATAGGGAAACCGAGTTCTACTATAGATAGGATCCAGGGTACTTCTCGTCTTTTGGTTACTGCGATCGATTGGAATCTAAAAGACAGTAGTATAAGGAATAGTGGCACTTTTTCTTTCCGAATAGCTTTGACAGTGATCCATGCAAATTTAGGCGAGAAATTGCAGTTCTGATGTCAACGGAAACCTGAGACTACACAAGCCTCAGGCACCTGAGCTATGTCGTTGCCACGACGTCACATAAGTTTTTGGAGGCTACGGAGGGACCACTATCAAGAAAATTATAGAAATATTTGCTTCTTGAATAAAAATAATTATTAAGAAAAAAATACTGATAGGAGTTTCTTTTCATGAGTTGGGTCAATAAAAAGTGAAAAAATTTATTAGTAAAAAAAATAAATAATTAAAATAAAATAACTGACTCAACTTAGAAAATAGGAAATAAGTTTTCCCTTTTGATATCAATGAGTCCAAATAAATAGTTCAAATTTTTTTTACTGTTGTAAATGAACTTACTTTTTTATTATTTGGTTATTGTTATATATATTATTATGCCACCGTTCTAAAATTTTAGTAATTTTTCCCACGAAGTAGTTGATACGGTAGATGAAGTAATCGAATATATCTTATCTTTAAAAAAAAATCAAATAGCCGTAATAGATAGATTGAATATTCATAGCTCCGACATTTCAAAGATAAATAATTACGATCGCAGTTTGAGTGCACGTGTCGCAAAACACGAACTAAAAATAAAAATCGAATCAAACAAATAATTAGTGTAGGAAATATTTGTGTAGACTGAATTAAAACCAATACCCTTTTGAAAAAGCAAAATATAACAATCATCAAGCAGATGAAAATTAATAAAAAATTAGTTACACAATAAAAAATTTCTAATAATGTTTTAAAAATAAAAATAGAAAAATTAACCAAAATATTCAATAAACTAAGTTTGTAAATTCTTATTACAAATACATTTTTTAATTTTTCTATAAGTAAACCAGATTAGATTAGAAAAAAACCCATAGTAAATACACAAATAGTTTATATCACTGTTTTTTCTTTTAAAAATTGAAGATCCAAGGCAAACGGTGCAACTTCTCCAAAAAATAGAGGAGGCAAATTGTCACAGCCTACGCGTGTGCGCCGGCAGCGCGCACTTCAAAATAGTATTCATAAGTTATTAGAGGTCCGGAAAAAATACATAGCAATTTCGGATGTTAGGTCGACGTGCGAAACAAAACCAAGCTTAGTTAAAAGAATAGACCAGTTACTATCAAGTAACGCTAACTTGGCCTGCAAGCACGGACACGACCCTAATTAATGCAGGGATTATGTTAGGACCTTCCGAGAGCTGGGGCTTATCCCAAAGAAAAAGAATTCTGTGGAGCAGAAGAAATATTAAAAGAGGCTCAAATAAGAATAAAGCGTGTTGATCACCCCAGAAAGAAAGAAGAAACAAAAAAATAATAAAAAGAATAATATTACGTAAGAAAAAATAACAGAGTTAGACAAAAAGATAGCAGAAAAACAAGAGGAAATATATAATTTAATAAAAACATATAAAATATCATTAAATAAAATTTAAAACAAACTGAAAAGAATAAATTTTTAACCCAACCTAACCTCATCCATAATTGAAATCTGATTTAAATTATAAAGCAAAAGGGGAATATTAGATTGATACTAAGAAGTTTTTTTATGCAAAATTTATATTGCAACAACAAATTTAAATATATGAATAATGACTTTCAAATTAGGCTGGAATAATCAATATAAATTTATAAAAATAAAAAAACTATACGGGAAAATGGAAATATTAATGCATTTTCTAGGAAGAATTAAGAGAACATCCTATGTAAAAAATTTATTACTAATAATGTAATGCTGAGGCCATAGAAGACCACTGCTTTTTAGTAAAATCGAGTGCAACGATTGCCGAAAATCGTTTGGACTCGCGTGAGCTACTAAGCGTGGCTGAGCGTAACAGCCGTGATCGGTCAGGGTTAGAGAGAGAGAGAGGGCGCGTTAGGAGCAATGATCGGGAGGGAAGAGTTAGCGACCCAGTATGACTGTGTCCTTCAGTCAGGCGACCTCGTAGCTCTTTGCGTCGGAAAATAAAGTGTTCTTTCCCAGCCGAGTGATACCGTGAGTTAGAACAGATAATTAGCGAGTGACGAGGCGAGTGTGTACACTGCGGAACGTGTGCACCACTAGTGTCAAGGATAATTGTGAGTGGAGTGCCGAGTGCGCGCACTGCTCAACGTGCGCGGTCTCGGCAGCTACGAGATCAACCCCAGCGGCTTCAACAACAACGCGACAGCTCCGGCGGAGAAGCAGTCGCAGAGGCAGTTCGTCGTCCAGCGGTAGAGTCGGATACGGTTGGCCACCGTATCCCCTTCGATTTATCGTAGGTGCACGGCACTCTTCAACTGTGTTAGCATGCGATCCCGCGCAGCGTGCGCGGCGAGTTTATTGATAGCGTGCGTGCGAATAGTCCCCGACGATCGCGAGATTCACTCTCTCTCTCCCCGTTCGAATTATTGTATCGAAACAGCGTGCGTTAGTCTCTCGGCAAATCCCTCACTTATACAAGTTCAGTGCTAATTTAATAAAGTGGTTAGAGATCCCCGAGAACGATCTTATTATTTAGTTTTCCCTTTGTCCGGTATCGGTGTTATTGTTGACATCCGATTCGAATGCGCCGGTAATCTAGCACGGATTGTGTTAGCGTAGTAGAAGCTGTTCGTCGACCGAGGTGCTTGCGGTGTCCGACGGAGCGCTGGTGAGCTAGCGCAGCAGCGCCACTGTGCGGAGGGATCGCGCACCCAAGTCAGATCGCTGAGCAGACACGGCGCATGTGTACAGCGGATCGAGGTGAGTAAGTGTGCTAGAAGCATACAGTTAATAGCGCACCGTCTGGCCGTATTGAGGACTACGATTACCCGGGATTTGCGGCTAGGCGGCAGCCTGTTACACGAGTTATAATTGTTTGATATAAAAACGACAAAAGGAACACGAGAAGAGCATTAATTAGCGCTAATATAATAATAAAATAATAAAAAGCTTAATTTGCCTAAAATTTCGTACCTATGACATTAGGGAACGACGACAGAATTAAGCCCAAACCTGAACCTCAGACCGCGGGTATAAGCTCTGACTTTGATTTCGATAAAGTGGAGACGAGCTTCCTGGAACCGATCTGGTTATACATGAGATTCATACAAAAGCTAAAAAGCCACTTAATTTCAAACAATATCAGTTTCCCCACGCTATGAAAGACAAATTAAATTACCACATTGACAAATTATTGCAAACTGGATTTATAAAAGAATCGAATTCACCGTACAATAGTCCAATTTAGATAGTATCTAAGGTCACAGACGAAAAAGGCAGGATGGTACTCAATTTACGAAAACTCAATGAAGAGACCATAGCAGATTCCTATCCGATTCAAAATATTAACAATATTTTTGATCAAGTGGGGGGTACTAGGTTCTATACCGTGCTCGACCTCGCCATGGGATTTTCTCATATTCAAATGAATCAGGTTATGCTCTCATTTCATAACATTTTTACAATGTAAAATATTTATTTAATTTGTTCCATGTAAATGTAGCACCACATCGGAATTATTCGCCCTATTAAGGATATGCATAGTTCAAGCTCTGTCATATTTGTCTGTTACTAAGCGAAATAGATTCTTTCGGCCACGTCATTTTAGAAAAATAATTTAAAAAGTACGTGAAACAGAATTGTATAAAAAAATTTCCATTAACGTATGATAACTAAAACATCTATTCTCAAGTATTATTATAATTTTAGAATAATTTACTTACCCCTTTTTGATATGGTGCTTCTAGCATCGCTTCAACATCAAAATCTTCAGCCATGTTTGATGCAGAATATCTGTAAAATATATCAGCAAATTTTCTAATTAATTTTATATATTTTTAAATTAAATTTTATTTAAAATTGAGTATATTCAAATTTGAAATCACACATATTGAAATCAAGTCAATTTTCCAGACGAAAAGTGATGGCTGCCTGTCAATTTGAAGTAATTTCATTCGTGATCTGATAGGCTGAAAGGTAGTCACGGAAGTTAACATCATATAGCAGTATGTATTTATAGCCTAGGCGGCTGTATTTGAGTTAATACGCCCTGATAGGTCGTATACGTACGTCCAAGGAGCTCCTGGGTTGTATTGAAATTCATACACCCAGGGAGGCAGTAGAGGGAATGGCTATTGAACTGCATGTAACCGTATAATAGTCATGCTGCGTTCCCGGTATATTGGCTTAGCACATAGGTCACATGTCAGTAAAAAGGATAGTACGCAATTGCGTTATAACGTTTGAATATATCTCGCGTTATTAAAATATGAGTTCGAACTCTTTACATTAAATTCGCAATAACGTCTCCGAAGCAAGAAGTTGACACGCGCGCAATCTAAATAATCAAAAGAAAATCTTTCGAGTGGCAAACCACGAGGCTTGCCAACTCGATGAGCTGCTTCGAAGTGCAATTGATAGCAATCGCATCTATCGAGGAGAGGCCCGACAGCGCCGCGATTACTACTCAATTTGACTTCTCAACAATCGATATGTTTCAGGAGGGAAGATCTCTAAGGCTGCTTTTTTCTCATGAGAGAAATAGTCTCATGAGTTGAGCTCTTAGAGATCGTTAGGAAAGGAGTTCAATAGGCTAACCACTGAAAAGAAATTCGTCTCAGGAAATAGCTGAGGCTTTATTTCTACACAGTGCTCGCGCTGCTAAGCAAGGTAGGAAAGTGAGTCCTTTTGCCGCAGCGACGAGCGAATTTATACATGCGAAATGGGCTCCTTTCTTCGCTTGGTAGCCCCTACAACGTTATTTTTGTCTTTGACGCAAATTTTGTACACGTTTTATCGCAAAATGGCTCGATCGAAATTACAATTATGCGATTTAAAAAATTAAACTGGAAAGGATGAATTTTTTAACATAAATTGCATCTCTAGGAAAAATCGCCTCTTAAAGTTATAAGCTATACAATTTAATAATCAAATTACGCCATTTTTACAATAAAATTATGGAAAATTTTTACATGGAAAAATCGCTTGTGGTTAGAAGATTGTTATCCATATAAAAGATGATTAATGTTGCTCTCTAATTTTGAATAATAATTAAAAAACAGATTTGTAATTTTCTTTTTTAGCGGTTTAAAAATCAGCAATTTAGTAACAATCATAATCATCAATTTTACAGATACTTATGATCGATTTTCTATCTAACCGTGTCATTTTAATTGTTTAAAAAAATTATAAATTGTTTATTTATTGATAACTTAATGGGTAATTAGTTATCAAAGTGTCAAATTCTTGCTTTTCTGTTTCAATACGTCGAGATTGTAATCGTATGCTCGAAATAACAATATCATTGTTTATTACAAAATAAGTAACAATGTTAACTTGTAGATTAGATTTGACTAACAAATATCGATTTGAGAGTTATATCAACATGAAATTCAGAATCAGCGCATCAAATTTAACTAAGAAATACTTTTGTTTGTTTAAAAAACTTTATAATTAACGATTTTCTGTTGTAAACAATAAATTTTCCCACGGTCATGACGTCACGCTCCTTATATGGTAATGTTTTCGCAGAGTTGCCCTAACACATTTGCATATACGTGTGAAAAGCGCCTATGCTCAATTACCGATTTTCTCTAATTGTCTCGTGTGTGACGGGTTGCCGTTTTACAGAGGAAAATAGGAGACAAATCAGACAGGACCGTTACAGCGTCATACACCACCTATATATTTATTGAGTGCCTTTTGCACTTAAGGGGGTATCCCTATATAGATCGATCAAAAAATCGATTTTTTTTTATTACATAAATCGAAAGTAGAACATTTCAAAAGTATGCTGTTAAAATTTTAGCGCAAAATTTGAATCCGTTTAGCCGCTATAGGCATATTCGCTAACGTCCTTTAGCGGGTGGTGCGCGCGGCGCAGGTAGGCAGGTAGGCGCTCGGACACAATAGCTCCCCGCTGAGCTGGGATACTTCGATAATGAAAAGAGCAGATGTTCTGTGATTTGTGAGTGTGTTTGTGTGTACCCTAACAAGACTTTACGAGCCAATAGTATAGTAGGATAGACAGTGTACAGTACAGCTATAAACTCGTTTTGGAGCATCGGTTCGCTACAGTTGGTTCAGTTTTACTGTAACTGTTGTGCAGTTTGCATCGCTCTCTCTCAACATTCATCAAGACATCGTATCCGAAAGGCGAACATGGAAGCAACTATCGTTCAAGCCGTAGAAAGAGATCTTACCATGGTAATCAGCACATGAGTGAAGACGGCGAAGTGAAAGGGGCCAGTGCTAGTGCACGAAAATTAGCAGCAGCAACTGCTGATGACGTGCCAGTCAATCTATCTCACCGATATCGAATAATTGAATTTGTGACTATTTTCTCGGTACTTTCCGAGATGCTGTGCTGTAAAACTTGTAAAGGAGCAGTGAAGTTTGAAGAGACTGGCTTCCGTGGTTTCGGATGGAAACTTTCCGTTTCTTGTAAATGTGGCACGAGTACTATACCTTCTGGCCCCCACATAAACAATGGCTTCGAAGTAAATCGGCGTATAGTGTTTGTGATGAGACTTTTAGGTATTGGTTTGCAAGGAATAAATTTGTTTTCTAATTTGATGGATTTTGGTGAAGGACTCAGTAATACAGCATATGACAGTATATTGGAGCACATTCATCAAGCGACAAAACTTTATTTCAAAATAACAAGTCAAAAAGCTGTCGAAGAAGAGAAGAAACTGAACGAGCAATCAGAAAAGCCATTACTTGAAATGAAAGTATCCGGCGATGGATCATGGAAGAAACGAGGCTTCTCTTCAAAAATCGGCGTGACTACGCTGATATTATATGAATGTGGAAAAATTGTCGACTTAGTTGTGAAAAGTACGTTTTGCAAATCGTGTCTAGGATGCCCTTACAAGGAAAACACTCAAGAATATGTCAACTGGTACGAAAATCATGCTGACGAATGTGCTGCAAATCATGAAGGCTCTGCAGGAAAGATAGAGGTCGACGCCGTTTTAGAAATTTTTGAGCATTCGGTTGATGAATACGGCATACGATACACCGTCTACATCGGCGATGGCGACTCGAAAACTTTTACTGCAATTTTGAAAAAAAATCCTTACGGAGATGAATTTCCGGTGGTGAAGTGTGAGTGCATTGGCCACGTTCAGAAGCGAATGGGAACGCGTCTTCGGAATTTGAAAAAAAAGAGAAATTGGGAGGTAGAGGCAAACTTACTGATGCTCTAATAAAAAAGTTAAGTACTTATTACGGACTCGCCATCAGAAGAAACGTCAACTCAATACAACATATGAAAGAAGCAATATTAGCTACATACTACCATATGTGCTCGACTGACGAAAAACCACAGCATCAGTACTGCCCTCCGGGAATCGATAGCTGGTGTGAGTGGCAACAATCGCAGGTAGTCGCAGCCGGCGTTTTTGAGCATCCACCGGCTCTCCATGAAGATTTACAAAAGCATTTATTGCCCATTTATGAAGATTTATCGAGAGAAGATCTACTGCAAAGGTGCTTGGGCGGACATACCCAAAATGCGAATGAAAGTTTTAATGCTCTTGTATGGCGCTTGGCTCCTAAGCATCTGCACTGTGGTTCAAAAACCGTTGAAATTGCAGCTTGGATTGCTGCTGGATTATTTAATGACGGTTATAAATCAATCCTGCAAACAATGAACATCCTCGATTTCACTATTGGAGCGCCTACTTACAACTACGCCCAAAAGATGGATGAAAACCGAATAAAGCGTCAAGAGCTGAAGAGTTCGAGTGCCACAAAGGAAGGTAGATTGGCTAAAAAAGCAAGAGCTGCTCCTGAAAAAGATGAAGAAGATGACCTCCTTTATGGCCCAGGCATTGCTGATTAAGAAAAAAATTAAAAAGTAATGGTGAGTCAATCAAAAATGCGATTTTCGGCTACCGCGAACTTTAAACGCGTTTTACTTGAAAAAGAAATTTCTTGACTGTCCGTGTTTGGGGGCATAATTTCTCGGCAAGTTTTTAACTTATTAAAAAAAAAAAATAGCATTTTGAAGATAATTTAAAAATCTAGTCGATGAACCTACTTGTTTTTGAAATAAAAATTTATTTAACCACTATTTTGCAATAATAATAAAAAAAAATGTTACAATTTTTTTTCAAAAGTCCACCATTTTGCTATGGAATTTTCTTATACTTTAAATTTAGGTTAGTCGACGAGATTTAGACCTTATAATAACAAAAAAATTCTTCTTTTATGTTTCAGAGAGATACGACGACGACAAGTGTGCACACAAAATTGGGGGAAAAAAAAAAGTTGTATTGTTCAACATTTTTTTTTACAACTTTTATAAACAAAATAATGTAAAAAAAAATATTTAATGCATCTTCAATGTTTAAGCAATAAACTATAAAATTTTCAACTAAAAATCTTGTATAGTTTAAGAAAAAAAAAATCGCAAAGTTTTGGTTCATTTTTGCCCATCTATATAGGGATACCCCCTTAACTCGAATAATGATTTGTTACGGTTACAAAATTATAATTATATTAGCATAGCAACTGCCATATTCGACAAATTTGTGCTAATAAATATCTCGGGTCACTTTACATAAATTTTATATTCATTAGTTAATTAAATAAAAAATAAGCAAAATACTTATATATATATAAGCCATTAAATAAAGAATGACGATCGTATTCAATCAACGGCCCAAACATAAAATAATATTATAATATAATCTTAAATTATATTTATGTTTAAAAACATTACATTTATTGAATATCCCAATTATAAAATTTAGCTTGAAATAAATATTATTAACAATCAAGATAAT